GCGGAGGCGGAGCGCGGGCAGGATGGCGGCGGTGCCCCTGCGGCCCTACACAGCCGCCGGCCGCCTCCTGCCGCTGCTGTGCGGGGGGGCGAGGAGCAAGGGAGCCTCCCTGAGGGCCGGGGCGCTGGGCCGCCTCACCCAGCGGCGCTACAAGAAGGACGTGCTGCCCTCCCCCGAGAGGCCCGTGCCCTCCGTCTCCATCACCGAGATCCGGCAGTACTTGCGGGCCCAGGGCATCCCCTTTCACGATGGGTACAGCTGCCTGCACACCCCCAGCCTCTTCACCGACGGCCACCAGGACCAGCCGCCGGCCGCCAGCGCCCCTTACACGCTTTTCATCGACAAGATGACGGGCAGCTTCCTGTGCACAGCCACTCTGGCCGAGGGCACCTGGCAGGACTTCCAGGCCAATGTGGAGCTGCAGCACCGCGGCATTCCCACCACCGGCATGGAGGAGCTGGAGAAGGACGTGCAATGGGCTCGCGAGGACGCCCGCTGCATCTGGGACCGGGCACTGCCACTCTGGGAGCTGCTGGACAAGGACGAGACCAACAAGACCAAGGCCATGTTTGGTATCTCCCTGCTGACGGACGCCACCCTAAAACGCTTTGGGGTGCGTTACCTGAGGACTGCCCAGTCCCTTGTCTTCCCCTGGTTCAGTCCCCGCGATGCAACGCTGAAGGGCCTGAAGCTCGTGAGGGTGGAGAAGAAGGGGGATGTGATCACTTACGTGGAAGAGACTTTACCCCGCTTCGAATCCTACCGCAATCTCTTTGGGCTGCCCCTGATTGGCCGCCGAGACACAGAGCTGGTCTTAACTGGGTGGGAGCTGGACGCCCTGGCCCTGCACCAAGCTACAGGGGTGGCCAGCCTGGCCCTGCCGCGGGGGGCCACCTGCCTGCCCCCTGCCCTCCTCCCCTACCTGGAGCAGTTCAAGCGCATCACGCTGTGGTTGGGCGAGGACCTGCACTCCTGGGAAGCCGCCAAGCTCTTTGCCCGCAAGCTGAGCCTCAAGCGTTGCTCCCTAGTGCGCCCCTGCAACCTGCAGCCCCGGCCCTTGGAGGCTCTGAACCAGGGCCTGAACCTCACCAAGATCCTGCGTACTGCCCTGCCCGCCAGCCACAAATCCATTGTCTCCTTCCGGAAGCTGCGCGAGGAGGTGTTCGGGGAGCTGGTCAACACTGAGCAGGTGGCCGGCGTCAAGTGGGCGCGCTTCCCTGAGCTCAATAAGCTCCTCAAAGGACACCGCAGAGGGGAGCTCACCATCTTCACAGGTGATGGGCAATTGGCTGGTGAACAGGGGTAGCAGAGAGCTCTTCGGTGGCTTCATCCTCCTAGGGGTGACACCTCATGAGTCTTTCAGGTCCCTTTCTGCTCACAGCTTTGGCTGAGCCCGTCCTGGGGGTGTGCAAGAGGCTGGGGCGCATTCAGAGGTATGGTGGGGCAGGCATGCCAGTGTTGCGATGGGCTCCCTGCCTGGGGTGGCACAGAAAGGGCTGCCACCCACCACCTCCTGTCTGAGCCCTGCCTGTGCCCCCAGCTGGCTGCCTAGTCCTTCCCCGCGCCCCACAGGGACCCGCTGGCAGTGACACACGTGCGCCTAGGCATGCTGCCTGGCACGAGATGCTCCTTGTTTATGGTGGGAGTGCTGCGGATGGGCTGCTTTTATCCTGCTGCCTGGCGCTTCCACCTCTAAACAACCCCTCAGACTGTTCAGGATGGCTCAGATCTTCTCCCCCAGCTAATTCTTCCCATTGTTTCCTTGCACCAGGCCCGACGGGCAGCGGGAAGACGACCTTTATCAGTGAGTACGCGCTGGACTTGTGCATGCAGGGGGTGTGCACGCTGTGGGGCAGCTTCGAGATCAGCAACATCCGCCTGGCCAAGATCATGCTGACGCAGTTCGCTTTGCAGCGCCTGGAGGACCAGCTGGAGCTGTATGATGAGTGGGCTGATCGCTTCGAGGACCTCCCACTCTACTTCATGACCTTCCATGGCCAGCAGAACATCAAGTATGGTCCCGCACCTTCACCCCCAGTGGCGTTTACCTCTCATGGCATGTGCTGCGGGGCCTTAGGGAGCTGGGGCTCTTCCCCCGCAGCGGGTTGCAGATTTGGGGCTGGCAGGAGGCACACTGGGGGTGTTCAAGTCCTGGGGTTGGCACGTAGGGACTGCATGGCTCAACCGACTGCATTCCCACTGTCACGGGGACTGTTACAGCCTCCCTTTAGGCTAGGGGTGAAGGGACAGGACCTGTCCCTGTGCTAGGTGGCTGCCCTAAAACCAGCCTCTGCCCCTGGCAGCATGCATGCCCCCCAAGCCCCGCTCACCTGGCAGTGCTGCCATCTGTTGTGGAGGGAGGACAGGCACCACCTGGTCCTTTTATTCACCAGGTGCTGTGGCACCTTCACGCATGCCCATGCGCCCTGAGGGTCCCCATGGGCCAGGGGGATTGCAGAATGGTGGGCAGCAGCTGGGTCCTCCTGATCCAGCTGCCCTTACCTGTGGGGGTGGGGCTGCGCCTGTCCTGGGACAGAGCAGATGTGAGGTGGAATGTGCCCAGGGCCCAGTGACAGCCAGCCTGATAGCTCCCAGCTCTGCCTCTCCCCGTCACTCTGTGTGGCTCAGCATCCCCATCCCTGCCTCCACTGATCCCCGGGGCTAATCCCAGTCTTTCCCCGCCCAGGACGGTGATTGACACCATGCAGCATGCCGTCTACATGTATGACATCACCCACGTGGTCATCGACAACCTCCAGTTCATGATGGGACACGAGCATCTCTCTGCGGACAGGTAGCCCTTCTCCGAAGCCACCCCCTCCTTCCTCCGCCACCCTCGTTCCTGGAGCTGGCCCTGTCGAGTGTCACAGCAGGGACTGGGGACCCACACAGGGCATCCCCTTTCATCCTGCCTGGCAGTCCTGTTTTGTTGAAGGGTGATCACTGCCCTGGGGAGGAAGAGGTGGGAAAGGGTGAGCTGGTTACCTGCGATCCCTGTCGTGCTCCATCCCTTTGTCCTTGTGGGCCCAGCTGCCTCTTGGAGAGTGAGCCCAGCCCCCCGAGTGCTTCCTGCTGTGGGGCTGAACCTGGCAGCGCCTTGCTGCCCCCCAACCCCGCACCAAGCAGTGCCAGCCCCTAACCCCATTCTCCCTGCTGTGGCAGGCTCGCTGCCCAGGACTACATTGTTGGTGCCTTCCGCAAGTTCGCCACAGACAACACCTGCCACATCACACTGGTCATCCATCCCCGCAAGGAGGATGATGAGAAGGAGCTGCAGACGGCCTCCATCTTTGGCTCTGCCAAGGTGAGCTGGGCCAGGGTAGCCCTTCCTGTCCCTCGGGCACAGCATGTTCCCAGGAAGGGGCTGGGATACATTGGGCAGCTGTCCCCAGCTCCCACCAGCACCCTGAGTCATTGCTGGGGACCTGAAACGTGTGTGAGGGGCAGGATGTCCCCAGGACTCCTGTCACCTGCAGAAGATGTGTGGAATCCTGATTTGGCCAGGCCTTGGCAAGGAGATGCAGACAGGGAGCAAACCCTTTGCCAGCTAAAGCTCTGTTGCGGCTTTAGGTGCAGTTAATTAATGCTCATTGACTGTGAGTGGGTTGTAGTAGGAGATAATTAAAGCAGGATCCAGGGAGGGTGCAGGGATGGGCTCTCTGAGTGCTTCCGTCTACTGCTGCGATGCTAAACAACCCTGCAGTGGTGGGCAGGAGGTCCTCTGAGTGTTCACGGCCCTCCCGTGTTTCCATCGGGCATGCTGTGGCTTCAGCTCAAGCCTGTCTGCCCTGTGGGTCTCTGGAATGTCCCAGGGGAAGACAAGGGGTTGGTGTCAGGGAGGTGCTGGAGTTTCCATGGCCTGGGATGTCCTGTAACAGGGCTCAAAGGAGCTGGGCAGCACCTCCAAGCCCCGTGACTCTGCCTATATCCCCAGCACCCTCCTGGAGATGATTTTCTCTCCCCAGGCCAGCCAGGAGGCCGACAATGTCCTCATCCTGCAGGACCGTAAGCTGGTGACGGGGCCAGGGAAGCGCTACCTGCAGGTGTCCAAGAACCGCTTCGATGGGGATGTGGGCATCTTCCCCCTGGAGTTCAGCAAGGCCTCGCTCACCTTCTCGTCCTCCAGCAAAAGCAAGGTCAAGCTGAAGAAGATGAAGGAGGAGAAGGCGCTTTTAGCCAAGAAAGCTCCAGAGGGATGCTTAGGAGACTCTAAGAAGCTGTGAGCCTGGCAGGTCTCTTCCTTGGTCCATCTGGAGGGACGGGGACTGGTGCTGGGAGCACGGGGCTGGGGTACGCCAGCCCCTCTCCCCCCGGCGCAGCAGCCATGTGCCGCTGTGGCCCTTTCTCCTCCTGCATGAACAAGCCTCTTGGCCGCTAGCATGGTGTACCCGAGATGTGGGGCCACCGTGAGAGGAGGAGTGGGCTCGTCCAAGAGAAGAGCTGCCAGGGGAGGGTGCTTTGGCAAACGCTGGCCACTCTGTACTGGTGCTGAGTGCCGGGAGCACGGGGTAGGGGGGAGTGGAGTCAGTGTAGGCTGGGTGATGGGGGGCAGTGACCTTCAGCCCTGAGACTTCGGGATCTCTGGACCTGGGGTAGGTTGTTAAATGGTGGCTAAAATGGAGCCAAAATCCTGGGCTGTCACTGGTGGGAGGGACTGTGTGGGGGGACTGTGCAGAGGTACGCATGGTGGGAGCCCCCATGTCATGGGTGGGGGTCTCTGAGCTCAATCCTGGCTGGGGTGGATCCGGTGAGGGGAAGGCGGTGCAGGGAAGTGTGGGAGATTGTGGATGGCTCTCTTCCTGGAGCTGTGTGCTCCCTGTGGGATGTGGTGGGAGCTGGACCCCTGTGGCATCACTGCTCGCAGCAGGTTAAAGGCAGCAGCGCTGGCATCCTCCTGTGCTGGTGGGTGCAACGTGGCACTTGCCAGGTCTGGCTGGTCGGCTAATGCCTGACCCAGCCCACTTTGCTCAGGGTCTCCCCCAGCCCCTTTCTCTGGGAGGCATCACCAGCAGTAAAACCTCAGGGGGAGCAGCCCTGCCTTGCAATGCTGGGCTGGGGGGGCGCCCACCCCCATGCCCTCCAGGCTCTGGGCAGCAAATACTGTGACCTGGCCAGTCCTCGCCGTGGTGGGACGAGTCCACGGCTGGATCTTGGTCTAATCCCTTTGTTGGTTTTTTTCCCTTCCTACTTTTATTAAAGCATAAATGTGAGTGCCGTTTCTGTGCCGCTATCCCTGTGACCGGGGGGCCCCTGGGGCTTGGGGGGGGGACACCCTGGCCGAGGAGGGGGTGACCCCCAGGGGATGCCCTCGCTGCACAGAGCATCCCGCCCCGGCCCTGGCACACGGGTTATTAGCAGCCTTCGCGCCAGGCATAGTTTTAACCTGAGCCATAATGAGGGGCTGGGGCGGGCAGGCAGGACACACCCGGCCCCTGGTTTCCGGGGTGCACCAGCTCTCCCGGAGAGCACCCTTGGGTGCTGTTGGTGCAGGTGTGAGCCCCCCCCCCTCTTCCCAGGGCAGGCTGGGGCTGATGGCAGAGGAGGGTCCCGGGGAAGCGGAGGTAAGGTTGGGAAGCCAGGTCCCCAGCACAGCTGGGTCAGGGTTTGCACAGTGGTGTGGGTGAGGGCTGGGGGTGTCCCCCCGTGGCCTGAGGGCCCTCTCCGGCTCCCTGGCACCCAT